TAGGATCTAGAGTTTGAGATTTATTAACTTTTGGTGGTGTACTTTCTTGGTGTTTTGTGTTTCTGGTATCTTTTTTTGGATGTTTATTCATTTTGGCAGGGGGTTTCACTGTGCACAGGTTTGACCCTATTCCCTGCTCTGTGCACTCTTGACTAGGCTGGGGCGTAGAAATGTTTATTTATATACATTTCCAGTCTTGCACTATTATTAGCGTTAGTAAGCATAAGATCTGATACTAGAAAAAATCATCCATAATCAGAATTAACCAACTACAATTTGACACCTAACCCAAACTGTTAGGGAAAAAAACCACACACACAGAAAACTGAGAATTTTTTAACATGTGAGCTGATTTTTGCAATTTATAGTTTTTCAGTGTTGTTGTATTGTTACGGAAACATGCTCACCTCCCCACAAAAAAAAAGAAAAGATATAAAAATTATCCCCAACTTATGAGCCAGAAAAGAGTTAATTTCCACTCAATGCTAATGGTGGATATTTCAATATTTGCTAATATTGAATTTTTTGTATTTTTAAAATAAACCACTCTTGGGCCATGACTATTGTTGTTTCAATGTGTGGCTGGATTCTATCTACCAATTGGCCAGTCTTTTATTTAGAATGTTTGCATTGATATCTAAAAAGGTACTATAAATTTCATATGTGTGTCCACTGTGTGCACATGCAATCTTAATGATCACATTTATATCACACTGTGTCAGGAATCATTCTAAACACTTTAGATATAGTAACTTATTTAATTTTTACAGTAACTATTTGATGTAGCTACTATTATTATTCTCAATTTTTAAAATAAGAAAACTGAGACACAGAGAATTGTACTCATTAGGATGGGATAAGTTGGAACGAATGTCATCATTCAAATATATGAGTCCATGTGTTCTTAGTCAGCAAAAGATTTTGCTGTACTTGGAGATTTAGAGGGCCAGGATCCTTTCATCTTGTGGCTCAACCATCACCTAGGGCTTCATTGTCAACTGTACCCAGCTGGCAAAAGAGGAAAATGAGAATGGAGGAAAGTATTAGTTTCCTATTGCTGCTGCTAACAAATTACCACAAACTTAATGACTTAATGCAACACAAATTTATTCTTTTACAATTCTGAGGCAGGTCTCTGAAATGGGTCTTACTGGTTTAAAATTAAGGTGTTGGTTGGGCTGCATTCCTTTTGGAGGCTCTAGGGGAGAATATTTCCTTAACTTTTTCATCTTAGAGGTTACCCACACTCCTTGGTTCATGGTTCTCTTTTATCTTCAAAGGCAGTGATGGCCAGTCAAGTTGTTCTCATAACAAATCACTCTGACACTCTTTTGCCTCCTTCTTCCACTTTTAAGGAAACCTTGTGAATACATTGGGCCTGCCTATTATCCAGGTTATCCAAAATAATCTCAAGGTCAGATGATAAGCAATTTAATTCCATCTGCAACCTCAAATTCCCCCTTTCCATGTAACATAACATATTCACAGGTTCCAGGGATTAGGATCTTTAGGGGGACATTATTTTGCCTTCCAAAAGGAGGGTACATCTACATAAGTTGTGGCCTTAAAACAGTAAACATCACTACTAGTCATATTCCATGGTTGAGAACTAATCTACATGAAAAGGAAGCTTATAAAAACTCTTGAGTAGGAACCATATTTCAACTACAACTATACCCTACGGAAAGGAAAATTGGATTTTGGTAGACAGTTAACTCTCACTAATACAAAGGCTTAGTGATTGGCTCCAAGTGTGGCTAGCATCTACATGCTTAACTAACCACTAGATGCTACTGATACATATCAAGACCATGCTCGTTTAATAAAATTAACATAGAAGTGCTCTCTTTCTCTTTCTTGTTATGGAGAGGTTGCAATAACTTTGAAGATTCCTTTTCCTTGAAAGTTTGATGAAATTCACTTAACTGACCATGTAGGTTTTGTGTTTTGGAAGGTGGTAGCTCGTTGACAATTTTATTTCTTCTATGATAATTGGTCTGTTCATATTTTCTGTATTTGGGGGCTAGCCGGTTAGTGCAGTTGGTTAGAGTGCAGCCTTGTAACACCAAGGTCACGGGCTCAGATCCCCATACCAGCCAGCCACCAAAAAAACCCACCACACTATATTTTCTGTATTTGGTGGGGTGGTGTCAATTTTAGAGATTTATATTTTCTTAGAAAATTAGAAAATTATCCACTTCATTCAGGTTTCCAAATTTATTTTCATAGAATTGGGACAGATTTGTCTCTTAACTCTTCTAAATCCCTTACACTATGTTTATTGTGCAATTTCATTTTTATGTAGTTGTCATTTTTTTCTATTTTACATTTTACTGTCATTTTCAAAAAAAACGGATCTTGGATTTACGCATGTGTTCAACAATTTTCCTGACTGTACTTAATATCTCTTCATTTTTTATTTCTTGTAGTTTCCTTAGGTTCCATTTCTTTCAATTTCTTTCAGTTAATTATTGTTTTAATGTCTTGAGTTGTTAAATATTTTTAATATATTGATTTTCAGTCATTCTCATTTATTAGCATAGATCTTTAAGGTGGAGAATTTTCATCTAACCACAATTTTAGGTAGATCTATAGGTTTGATAAGTAGTGTTTTTATTATCTCTATTTCCAAAATACTTGACAATTTCAACTTAATTTCCTCTTTTGTCCAAGAATTACTTGAGAGAAATTTTTAAAATTCTAGGTGGTAAAGCTTTTATCCCATCCCACCAAGTTTATTTTCAAATTTAATGTACTGTTTTCAGAGAAGTTGCCCATGTAATTTCTAATTGTGGAAATTTATTTTCCTTTGTAGACTAAAATAACTACTTTTATAAACGTTCCATAGACACTAAAAAATGAGGTACATTTTTTTGTTTTCAGCCTGTAGAACTTGATACATATCCATTACATGTTATTAGTTATAGCACTTACATTTCCCATATGTGTAAATATCTTTTGCCTGCTTCAGCTGTCATATGTTGAGAAGAGTGAATTAAAGTCTCCTTATACTGATGTTTCTTACTATTTAATCCTCAAAGTTCTTTTCTCAATGAATTTTAATTTTATTCTACCTGGTGCAGATATTCCTAACTATTAGATCTTTACTAAGGATTGCATACTTGACCATTACAACATACCCTTCTTTTCCTTGTTTATTTTCAATGTGTTGGACCTTATCCAATGGTAGTCTTGTGACTTGTCTTCCTTTTCTTGTATTAGCCTGGTATGTCTTTTTCTATTATTTTCAACATTGCTGAGTAACTTTAAGTACAGCATATATTTAAATTTTTTAAATCCAATCTGATTTATATTGCTAATAGGACATATAGATTTGGTCTTTTTTTTTTTTTGTCTTTTTCCGTGTCCGGCAACGGATCGCAACCCTCAGTGTTGCCCCCGTACCGGACCGGGACCAGCAACGGGATCGCAACCCTCGGTGTTGCCCCCGCGCCTCGCTCAGCCAGTGAGCGGGAACCGGTCTGTATGTGGGATCCGAACCCTCGGCGGGAGCGCCGCCGCGCTTCCCAAGCGGCGCACTAGCGCAGTGCGCCACCGGGCCGGCCCCCTAGATTTGGTCTTGTGTGTTTATTGTTTTGTTAGCATTGTTTTTATTGATTTTACAAACGTTTAATTAAATGAGCTGTAATAGCCTTGTTTTGTTTAGTGAATATTCATTTGGTAATCTAGAAAGTTTATATTTTTAAAATCTTGTCTAAGCCTGGGTTACTCAGAAAGTAAAGCCTGAAACAAAAGCCTACGTAGTACTACTTTTTTAGGGTAGGCAATGTCAAGGAGAAAGAGTGACAAACAAACGAAATAAAGCATGAAATGAGAGAAAGCCAATGGAAGAGAGCATTATCAAATTACCTATTGCTTCGTTTTCAAACATAATGGTTTGCTTAAACCCTAAGAAATACGGTGAACGGGATAACATTCCCATTTTACAAATGAGGACATTGAGATTTACAAAGATTGAATAACTCACCCGAAATCACACAACTAACAAGTGGCAGTGCCACGGTTTAAGCCTAGTTCAATTCCCTACTCTTTCCATTAACTGTACTACCTCTTGATTTTGTCACTGGTTCTCTTATTCACATTTATTAAATGCCTACTAAATCTTTCTAGCAATGAGCTAGGAAAACAGATAAACATCTCTATGCTAATTGAGATCAAAGTTTAATGATTACTATAGGTCTTTGCTGCTGTTAGTTCTGATCCTTGCCATTCTCTTTTCTCATTTTACACCTGTTGTCTGTACGTGTTCTTAGTGCTTTATGGACAATTCTTGCCTTTTATCTATATCATCTTGATGACCCTTTCCATCTATAATGTGAAATCACTTTACATTGTAATTGCCAGTAATTTCATAATTGTTAATTCACCTCCTAAGACATTTCTGCAGTGGAATTGTTTTCTTTTTTCCTTTTGTGTTCTGAGCATCTTCAAATGTTACAAATGTCAACATACTGATTTCTGGTGAATCAGACTGAAGAATTCCCCTTAAGAATAAGCTTGCTTTATGAAGACAGTAGATTATTAAAGAAATTAAATGAGGGGAAATCCTACTATTTCAGCAGACATATCCTTTTGATAAACTCATTTAAGTGATTTCCTACCTTTCCTATGTTACAAGTGACTTCAATATTTACTGGAGTTTTAACTAAGAAGGCACCTAAATAAACCAAAACAATGTTGAGAGAAAAGTATACTTTAAATGAGAGAAAAGCTTAATAATATTATTTTTTAAACCACATTTTTAAATACCTCAGAAGTCAGTTATTTCAAAAGAGGCAGGAATTTTCATTTTCTTGCCAGCAGCCTAGATAAGATATGAGCTCACAGTGGGGAGAACTGTGTTCCCCCGAAAGATGTGTCATCCTAATATATGGTACCTGTTTAGAAATGGGATCTTCGCCAATATAATCAAGTTGAGATGAGGTCATACTGGATTATGGTGAACCCTAATCCAATGCTGGTCTCCTTATAAGAAGAGAGAAATTGGATATGAACATAAACAGGGAAGACACAGGGTAGAGGACCATATAACAACAAAGCAGAGAATGGAGTGATGCAACTGCAGGCCAAGGAACATCCGGGGTTGCTGGCAACTACCAAAAGCCAGGAGAGGATAGGAAGGATTCTTTCCCAGAGGCTTTGGAGGAAGCATGACCCTGCGGCACCTTGATTCTGGACTTTTAAGACTCTATAACTGTTAGAGAATAAGTTTTTTTCTTTTTTTTTGTCTTTTTCGTGACCGGTAAGGGAATCACAACCCTTGGCTTGGTGTCACCCACACCGTGCTCAACCCGTGAGCGCACCGGCCATTCCTATATAGGATCCGAACCTGCGGCGGGAGTGTTGCTGTGCTCCCAGTGCCGTACTCTTCCGAGTGTGCCACGGGGCCAGCCCAAGTTTTTGTTGTTTTAAGCCACCCAGTTTGTAGTGATTTGTTATGACGTCCCTAGGAAACTAAAATAGGGCTTTTTTATTAGTGAAAATTAAACTATGTAATGCCTATAATGATTTTTCCTCACCTTTCATAATTAAACAGTGTTTTATTCCATATGAAATAATTTAAGTAAAAAGCATAATATTTCAGGCTAGTTAATCACATTTACTTAGAAAAAACAGAATCTTTGAAAAATACAACTTAAGATAGAAGTTTTATTCTTTTCAAATTATAGGGCTTTTCTTTTATTTGCATACCTTGCTTACAGACCTTACTTTAAAATAGTTAACTACAATGGATTCCTAAGAATAAGCATCAAAAAGTAAGAGACAGAGACTATAAATACTAAATCCAACAAACTTTCTACTAAACGTGTATATGTTAGTATATAACTTACCCATACTATAAGTTATATACTTCTTTTATATATAAAAAAATAACCAGGAGAAACTTATTTTATCCAAACTCAGTGAAGTCTCCTGAAAACTTACTTTAGCTGTGACAGAGAACATTTTACCTTAAGCATAACTGCTCTACAGTTACTAGTAAGAAACTTAAACAGCTTCCTTTCACCCCATCCTCTCTTGCCAACATTCCCATACAAATGTATATAGACTTTTGCACTTAATGAAGTTCAAATTGCTCACACTGTGTTCAACACACTATTCATGAAAATAATAGACATATAGCAAATCAATCTGTTTATCAATTAATAACAGAACCATACATGATACGGACAAATAGATGTTAATACACTTATATGCATATTTGACTACATGCATATGTTATTTACAGAGACTTATGTTTACATTAGTTTGAATATCCTTATACGATAGGAGGCAGATACACGTACAAACTTTATTCATCTTAAGAGCCAATAAATACTTTATTTAAAAAAATAAATGAAAGGAAAAGATAGCTGCTAAGAGCTGTTTTATTTTAAATCAGGTAAAGACAAAATTGATCCTTCAAAAGTAACAGCCTTATAAAATAAAATAGCCTGCAAAAATTCTATTTTATAATTGAAATATTTTATCATGATTATAGGAATTAAGAAAATGTATTAAAGAGATTCTCAACTCTTTGGTGATTACTTCAGACCCATGAAAAGGCATCATGAAGGAGGTACAAATATGGGCTCTGTAATCCAAAAGAAATGAACTGCTGACTCTATCAAACTGATACTTCTTCCTAAAATTACTGTATTTCTTCTAAGTAACTAAATTGAATATAAAAGCTGCAAATAGAGGGTAACCTCCCATATACAATATTCTAATAGATTTACAGGTTATTTATGAATGTCTGTCCCCACAAATAAATAGGCAATGGATTAGAAAGACATTGACATAAACATAAAATAATAAAATTCAAAGGTCAGAAGGCACATTCTGAATAATACAATCCAGTAAATGATAGAGAATGAAGGTATACTAATAAAGTAAATTTCTCTGGAAACATTTGAGGCTTAAAAAACTATTTTTAAAAAGCATACACATTTAAATCTTCTGCAAAAAAAAAAATTTCTTTCTTACAGAGTTTAAGAGGCTTTTTATTATCACTTAGCTCTAAAAAATGTTCTAAAAATTCACAAGAGAAATAAAAGTAAAATTTTCCTCCAATTTGAATACTCTATGAAGCACCTTACTTTTTCCTAATTTTTCCTTAATCTGAAAGAAAACCAGTTAACATTAGTGTGTTATAGAGTTCACTGTAGATTCAGTGCTATTTTCCTTATCTTGCTTTTCTCCTTCATGTTGTGAATCTAGTTCATTTCTGCTATAATCCTCCTCACTGGAATCACTGTCCAGTCCACCTTCAACTCTGGCAGATTGCTTGTCATGGGAAGAACTTTCACAGGCTTTGTCTGTGGGAACAGCTCCTTTCCGTTGGGGTAAGATAGTAAAAAATGCTTCTTGCCAGTTTCTTGTTTCCAGGTATTCCAGAATAATTTCAAACACTGCAATAAAGACAAACTCCATACATTTCTTAGCCAAGTTCATCACAATGTTGCATACTGTATTTTAAAATACATTGCCTTTGTGTTAAGAGCACTAATTTGTCCTAATAGCTACTTTGTTCTTATGTCTTCCTTCTCCTATTGGCTATCAAGGCCACTTTGCCCCAAGGTTTTCAAGCCAGTTACCTCATCTCTAACTTATCTTCAATTCAGTTTAAGCACTCAAAAATTTACCAGTATCCACTGTCAATTATAATCAAAAGACAGAGGACTTTTTTTGTTTAGTTAGCATTCATCTAAATGTCTTCTACCCTTCCAATAAAGAGCCACTCACTCTGAGGAGCTTCTTATCTGCTTTCTTTATTTTTTACATTAGGATAGGACTAAAGACTATAAATACTGTCTCCAAGATACTCTCACTTCAACATACTGCTGAAAGGCTAATTTGGATTACTTTGTGGAAAAGCAATTTCCACTATATATCAAAGTTTATGGAAGAAATTCATTTCTTTAATCAATAATTTCATTTTTATAACTCCCTCAGAGCCTGCTTTATAGAAGGTATCAAGCACAGAAAAAGTGTTCATTAAGTAGTAGACTGGCTAAAATCTCTCCTTAAAAATTCTAAAAAAGCAAAACTCCAGGAGAAGACTTAGGTCCAAGAATTTCTATTACAATGTTATGACAACAAAAAGAAAAAAACAACTCAACAATAAAATGATTAAATTATTGTATATGCAGATGATGGAATATTACATAGCCATTAATAATCATTCAATGACGTGTAAAAATATAATGATAAATGGGGAGGGTACTCCAGATTTATAACAGTGTATGTAATAGAGTAAAAATCAAATTATGTAATAAATAATAATATATATGCAGAGGAAAAGAACTGGAAGGAAACACACTGGAAGGAAAAAGTTACTGCCAAGTATCTCTGAGGAGTGAGACTACAGCCAATTTTTTTCTACATTTTTGTACATTTTCAAAATTATCTAAAATATAGAGACGATTATTATTTCTATTATTTAAACAAAGAATAATTATATTTTAAAATCTGTTTCTAGCAAGGTGTAATGTTTTCTACTTGTCTAAATATTAAATGCCATGTTCTTTTTTACAATGTTCACCAAGGTATATTTTTAGGTTATACCCTTATAGCTTACCATGATTAACTGCCAAAACTTTTCGGCTATTCATCTTCACAAAATTTCCAAGGGGGAGCTGTGCATGATCAATTCCATAATCAGATGCTTGTTTATATGTGAGTCCCTAAAACAAAGACACTGTGACTTGGACTAAAATATTATATTATTTTAAAGTCTACGACTGTACATCATTTTTAGAAAAAACTTTATTTAGTTAGAGAATATTATCTGAAAGGGGTATGTGTGTTTAACTGCTAAGCTGTAAGCATTCTCTTCACAATAGCTACAATCAGAATGTTTAGGTACTTTTTAAAGTTTAATTGAAATGTACTGATTGTACGTATTTATGGGGCACAGTTATATTTCAAAACATGTATATAAAGTGTAGCGATCAAATCAGAGTAGTTAGCAAATTCATCATTATGAAAATTTATTGGTTCTTTGTGATCAGAACATTTAAGCTCCTCTCTTTTAGCCGTTTGACAGCATATAATAAATAATTGCTAATTATATGTGCCTACCACTACTGTACACTAACAGAACTTATTTTTCCTATCTAGCTATAATTCTGTGTCCATTAACCAACCTCTCGCTGTCCCCCCCCGCCTTTTCCCACCTCTAGTAACCACAGTTTACTCTCTACTTCTAAAAATACAACTTATTATTATTTATTTATTTACTTAGCTCCCACATACAGGTGAGAACATGTGGTGCTTCTCTTTCTGTGCCTGGCTTGTTTCACTTAACACACTGTTCTCCAAGCTCACCTATGCTGCTGTGAATGGCAGAATTTCATTCTTTTTTATAGCTGAGTAGTATTCCATTGTGTATATATACCACATTTTCTTTATCCAATCATCCACTAATGGACATTTAAGTTGGTTCCATATGCTGGCTATTGTGAACAGAGCTGTGATAAACATGGGAGAGCTGGTATCCCTTCGACATATTGATTTCCTTTCCTTAGGTTATATAGCCAGTAGGGGGATTGCTGGAGTATATGGAAGTTCTACTTGTAGTTGTTTGAGAAACTTACGTACTGTTTTCCATAATGACTTTACTAATGAACAATTTGTTTTAACCTCTTCGATTTACAAATGAGGAATCTAAAGACATGTTTCCTGACCAGTTATAAAGCTCCTTAGTGGGAGAACCACAAAAAAAACCTGGCTCACTTGCCTCCTGACTCAAATATCTTTTTCACCATTCTACACTGTCTTTCTCTCAGTTTAAAATACTCAATCTGAATACCTAGAGAAATACCATCTCTGTTTCCATTAATATAAAAAATATAAAAGAAAACTAAGTCTTAATTATATAACACTGAGAGACATAAATCAAAAAGACAAAGAGAAACCTGAATTTAAAAATTTCTAATAAATTTTATTTTCCCTTTGTCAATTAAAAAAATGTTAAATATAAATTTCACCTCTTCTCAAAATTAAAATACTTTAAGCCTGTGTCTAACCAGGACTGAAATGGCCAAAAGACAGAGTAGAGGAGAAAGAAGAGCTATATTTCTCAACCAATAGTTTACATATTTGTGGGGCAAATAATAGATTGAAGAAGTGCTTTTGAAAACAAAATTGTTTTAGTTCAGAAGAACATACATAAGCAGAAAATTTGATTCTACATAAATAGCAAAATAGAACTTTTCACTAAGAAAAAAAGGCTAAAGATCACTCTGATAAAATTCCCTATGATGTGCTAGTGCTGCACTGTCCATTTGGTAGCCATGTGTGACCACTTAAATTTAAATTTACAGTTAAAAAAAAAAATCAGTTCCTTAGTCATACTGCACACATTTCAAGTGTTCAGTAGCCACACAGCTGCATAGTGGGCAGGCAGATATGAACATTTGCAAAATTGCAGCAAGTACTACTTGCACAGTACTACTATACAAGAATAAGGAATTATTTTATATTACTCTGCTGACAATATTTCCTCAGAAACTTAATAAACATGTTTTTTTCCTTAGCTGGGTTGAATTTAGTATACTGCAAAATAGCTGGCAAAATACAAAATGATATTTTCTTTAGAAAATGTACTTCTGTAATTATTCATCTGAATGAGGGAAAGGAGGTGGGAAGAAATAAAAGTACAAATATAAGAGTATAGAAAAAACATCCTGTAAAAATCATGTATTTAAAAACTGATATAAATTTCAGTGGCTTAGCAATGGATTAGCAGCAGCATCTTCTATCAGTATAGCACAGCATTTAAGCTGTAGACTGTAGAGCAATCTGTCCAGTTTCAAACATCTGCTTTGCCACCTACTACTATTGATTTAGGCTTAATTTCTCTGTTCCTCAGATTCCTCACCTGTAAAATGTAGATCGTAAAGCACTGACCTCACTGGGCTGTAGTGAGGATTAAGTAAGCTAATATATGTAAAGTCCTTTGCTTAGCTCAAAAGATGACTGAAATATACTAGGTGCTCAATAAGATCGGCTATCATTATTATTATTGTCTCTATCAGGAAACTCTGAAATATCACCTTTGAGTATGAGCAAAAGCAAAAATAAAAACTTAATTGTACCTTGTGATGATTGTGATCTACTAATCCTCCAATCACATAGGCCTTTGATTCATCTAATTCCTTCAGTATATTTGGTGAATCTGATGTAAGATAAATCAAGTCTTCTTTTTTTATGAGTTCACTATAGTGCTCTGGTTTAATGTAGATATCCTTTAAGACATAAGGGGAAAAATATTATTAATTAATAGGAGTTTGTAAAAATTGACTAAAAATGATTATTCTCCTTTCCCAAAACAAACTCATCCAAAAACATCTAAAATGAAATTTGAAAGAATATCATTACAATGTATTATTTAGAACCTACTACTTCAATTCCTTATCACCTCACACGTTAACTATTTAAACAGTTGCCTAATTTTATTACCCTGTTTCTGGTCTTCTACACACTGATAGCAGGTTCAGTTTCTAAAAACACACAATGTTTTATCTTTTTCAGTAGGATAAAATCCAAACTCCTTAACTTAGTAGCTCTATCCTGAATATGGCACTAACCTACCTTTCCTACTTTATCTCTGTTCCAACAAAACAAATGCATTTTTACTGCCACATATTTTCTCCTATTTTTCTTCAGCCAAAAAATGCCTTCTCCAATTGATTCCTTGCCATCTACAGGAATCATCAAAAGGAAATTACTTACAGATTTAATTAATTCCATGTACTTGTTTCTCCAAAGATACACATTTGAAAACTTGTTTACCAAAATTGTCAGGTCAGAGGTACAAAATTAAACAACAGTTGGCAGTCAGGATTCTGCAAACCACACTGACTGCATAAAAGAAGAAGCATCATCAGGCTCAGATGACATTTACCCAATAATTTTTAAGAAAATCAAGAATGAAGCCAGAGTTTCTCACCTAAAATGTATAACTTATTGATTAATAAACAGCCACTTTTCTGGAAAATAGTATATCATAAACTTGACCCCTATACTTAAAAAGGGCTCCAAGAGGGATCTGTGTAGAGACCAGTGAATCTTATGTCTCTCTGGAAAGCTGATGGTATAAATAATAAATTTAACAAGCCACAAAATAACTAAATTTACACCTATTCTAACTTATTTCATTATTTCTTAGGAAATAATAGGCACTAACATAAGATTTGTTAAATGTATTGTACTTAAAAACTCAAAAAGCCTTTGAAAATGTTTCATATCATAGGTAATTAATAAAAAAAATGCAGCCATTATGGGATTAGTAAGTGTGAGAGGGAAAGTTTGTAATTTTGAGAACTGAGTTTAAGGAAAAAAAAGTATAGAAATAACCCAGTCCTTTTCTGAATAGGATAGAGTTCTTTAGGTATTGATATCTTTACAAGTGACTAAGAACAGTTCAGTCCAATAGAAAAAAGTGTGAGCCACATATGTAATTTTAAATCTAGGAGCCACATTAAAAAAAGAGAAAAGAAACATGTAAAATTAATTTTAATAATACATTCTATTAACACAATATATCAAAAATGTTATCATTTCAGCATATAAGAAATATTTTTAAAATTATCTAGGAGATATTTTACATTTTCACTCTCTTTTTCTTGGTTAGTACCAAAATATAAATATACCAATGTTAGTACCAAAAAAAAGAGAGAAAATGTAAAATATCTGCTAGATAATTTTAAAAATATTTATTATATGTTGTTGAAATGATAACAGTTTTTGTCTCTGAAGTCCAGTACGTATTTCACATTTATAGCACATCTCAATTCACAATTCAGAGTAACACATTTCAAGAGTTCAATAGCCACATGTGGCTAGCAGCCACAAATGAGACAGTGCAGACTTAGAAGAAACAGAATGCAGGCACATTTCCAATTTTTAGAGTGACTTCACTCTTATAGATAATATATAACGTATAGCTAGTTTATTAGGGAGAAATTATAGATCTTTAAAATTCTTCATTTTTTAAGAAATATGTTTTAAAGTTGGCAGTGAAATAGCAGGTAAGATTTAATGAGAGCAAGTACAAACTAACAGATATCTCACTCTCTTCTTTAGCTTATCCCATCTGTAACTTTAGACTTAGGTTCAGTGACACATAGGATTCAGAGATTGCTATATTTAGCAGCATTATATAGAATTTAGGCAAAATGTAGACCTTTAGAAGCATAAACATACTTGGAATAATGTAAGAGATGATTTTTTTAAATTACCTTCCAGTTGACCCATCCTTTGTCATTTTCATCCATGTTCTTTTTCAGCTGGCCTCCGTGGCTTGTCAAATAAAACTGGTAAGAGATTGGTAGGTATAGAAAGAGCAAATGACCTAAGTCCAATATTTTATTTCTTTCCTACACTCACCTGATCATCAATAAAACACATATATTTATTATCACTGATCTAGAAAAGAAAAATTTGTGACATGCTTTGAGCATACAAAAAATATGTGGCAGAAATGACATGTTTTGTGTGTGTATGTCATAACCCACTAACTTCAGTATTCCATCTACATTTTCATCCCACTTCTCTTTCGGTAGTTATAATCTGACTTTCCCTTAAAAATCACTTTTCTGCAAATTCTCCACTTCTATGTCAAGTTCCCATCCCCCTTTTCTGCCACCACTGTTATTGTTTACCAGTCAAAGTCTTCATAATTTTTCTTTGGTTCTAAACCCTGACACTCATTTTAAGTCTCAATCAAGGGTGAGAAGGGGCCTATTACAGACAAAAATGAGTATATAAGAACTATCATAAACGTGTGATATAAAATTACACAACATAAAAACTACAAAATACAAAAATATAAAATTACTATCACTTGGTAAAAAACAAAATTTCTAGCCAAAAATATATTAAGAGATGCTGGTTCTAACATCAGTATACCAGTGTTAATTTTTAGGACACCTAGAATTCAAACAAAAAAAGATCCTATTTGTAACAGCAGCCAACTAGTTTCACAGATCACTCTCTTACCCCAGCTTAAGAAATATCTTTCAAAATTATCAGTGACTCAAAAGGAAACTAAAAATCCCTTAAGTAGACAAAACCTATACAACAGGTACCACAACACAATATCAGGCAGGTGCAACCTCTGCCTCTCCCTGACTCCCCCAACCCCCAGCCTGGAAGGAATTAAAAGCTGAGAAACTGGTATGAAAATATGTATATGTCCTATAATGAAGACACTCAACTAGACAGCAGTGAGCAGACCAATGTGTACAAGACTGATGATGACTGGAAAGAGCATGTCTGAGAATAACATAAGTGGAAAGATGTTTAAAATATTTTACTTTATTTTTGTAGAAAAGAAAACATTTTTCAAATTGGCATTAAACAAGATTACCTCTAAGACTCTTGCAAAAGCAACTGGAATTATCTATATCTTTTGCTGTTAAAAATATAAAAGGAATCTGGAGTCTATTTTAAATTCTTCAGACATACCTGTACAGGATGTAGTGCTCGTCGATTTTCTGCATAACATCGCTGAATCTGCTTATGAAGTTTCTTAATATCCTATAAAAGAGTGCAATTTTTAAAGGAGAGTTATCAAAATCATCTATGGCCATTGCATGATCTTAAAGGTATAGGATAAGCAGAAGGGATGACTAGATAGGCACAGTTTTTCTTCTTAAATTCAAGTCCATTCTGATAATTTTCAGATGATTTCCTTATATGTTAACAGAATTACTAGGAGTTAATACTGCGTAAGTGACCCATTATTTCAAACTTTATATCTATTTAAAGCGCTAGTTCATGAAAACATCTATTATTCTTAAGAGACAACAACAAAACTCTTAGAGCCATACTATTACTATTTTCATGCCTTACCAATGCCACTGGTAAAACTCCACAGATCTTTACAATTAATAGGCAGTTTTACCATCTAATTACTGAGTATGTGTATCTTTCTCTTTCCCATAAAAAGTTGGTGAAAAAACTAAATTAAAAGATAGTATGAATCTTTCCATGAACTTTTTACGACTCCTTGTACATACATATATCAAAGTAATTTATTAGCTAATTTAATTTACGGGACACAAATTTTGAAAAACATGACAAGTTGTATTTTAACACATAAATGTATATCAAAGTGCTACTATATATTAAAACAAAAATAATTCAGCTTAGTTCACCTACACGATTTTTCTGACAATGATTCATGATACCTTTAATATCATTAAGTCATCAAAACTACAGTCAATGATAAGTCGGAGTGTGCTTTGAACAACATGTCTTCGAATACGTTTTCTGTCATTTCCATCTGAGTTTGATTCCAGTTGGCACTGTCGCTCTAATTTCTTTCTCTTGCGTTTTTCTTTCCGCTTTTGTCTGAAATTCGTAATTGAAATAAGTTTTTGTTATTTGTATATTCAGATATTACCAAGATATTATAAATGGACACAGAAACAATTACTTCTTCAAGTCATCACGTTGAATCAAACGAAATTGCCACTTCTGTGGGTCAAAAATGGTCAGATATTAGCAATTTTATATAGTCAATCTAAAAGCTTTAGACAGGAAGGAAATGAGTTTTCAAAAACAATTGAAAGCTTTCTTTCTAAATCCTAACTATGGGCTGGTTGGTTAGCTCAGTTGGTTAGAGCATGGTACTGATAAGTCCTACTTACAGTACTCAATAGTTTAATTTATTATTGGAATCACAAAGAAAACCTTATAAATACTGAATTTGAGAGTTATGATGAATTTTACTCCCATTATCTATCATCTACATGATTTTCAAGCAATAGTTATATGGTTTAGAAAAAAGGCAAAATAAAATTGTTAATTTAAAAAAAAACATACTTTTTTTGTAATCTATATCAACTATAGTTTATTTTCTCTCAGTAAATTTTGGCATTATACAATAACAGCTTCAGCCTAACTGCTGTCACCAAAACCTGCAATGGTTCTTCTCACAAAATCAATGTTAGACCAAAATTTGATCTTTCTGAGTTATTTTTATTCTACATTTAGGACATGAATACTAACTATATCCTTTATGCTTTATCTGAAGATAGCGGGTGTTTCAGAAAATGCGCTGCTGCTCGCAATAGGTTCTGGTTGAGACAAGGTGTTGAATGCAAGTTCATCAACACTGCTAACAAATAAACAATAATAATAGTTCAAAGCACACACAATTTTAATAGCCTATTGACAGTGTTAGCTAATACCATTATTATTATTATTAATAATCTTAATATTAATTAACACAATTATTGTTAGTATGCCAAAAGGCTATGCAAGGTCCAACATTCCATATTTCTGAATAGAGGAAGAACATACATTTTGAAACACATACTTGCGGAGTTCTCGTTGTTCTTCCCATTGTTTCTGTTTTATTAGCTTCTTCATTTGTCGTTTAGATATTTGTTCAAATACTTCACCTAATCTTGGGGTCTGGCTCTCCTCTTGATCTTCACTTAAGCCTTGCTTTCTTTCAACATTAGAAGTCTCAGTTAATGTTGGCAATGTTTCAGATGACATTATTTGGTGCCTCTGAAAAATCGAAAAGCAACTTTTAAATACCTAAATGACCAACAGACGTAACTAAAATTAAAGCATATCAGCAATAAATACAAATGCAAATTTGGACAATTAACTATAATTTATTGGTAAAGATCATTTAAATATAATTTAATACCAATTAAATATCATTCATTGGCAATGCTGGTAAACGTCTGAAGAAAGGGGGTGTTTTCATATACTACTGATGGTCACAATTTTTTCAGAAGGCAATACAGAAATGTTTCAGGAGCTTTAAAATACTTGTACCCTTTGACACAGTAATTTATTTCTTAGAATAAATTCCTTTAAACCAATCAGAAATGTACACAAAATATGCATATGAGTATATGAACTGCAGTATTATTTTTAACAGTGAAAAGTTAGAACCTACTTGAATGTCAGCAAAAGGAGACTAAATAAATTACAGATCACCTATAATATGGGTCAGAAATATTAAGCAGCCAGTAAAAATCATGTTTCCAAAGTTATTTAGTGATTAGGGAAAATAGTTATAATAATGTTAAATAAGAAAATCAAAACAAAAACATTACATCGAATTGTTTTTAAAAAACATACACACAAACATATGCTTAATTTTTACCCAAGGTTTTCTGCATTTTCTAAATTTTATGTTATAAAAATATAATGTTTTTATAAAAATATTATTTTAAAAAAGAGATGCAGAGCACTTTTTCTGTAGTCTTCTTTAATGCTATAAAATGAGGGAAATAAAAATATTATTTCATTATTTGGTTGTACACTCACAATAGGTTTTTGACAAAAAATATGTTATGCATTTGTAGATGCTGGACAATACAGACAACAAATTTGGTTGCCCCCCCAACATATTTCATTAAAAATATGTAATTGTAAATATTCTACTTCAGTCATGGCTATGAAACAAAATATGGAACCTGATTCTGCAATAAGCCTGGCTTTGTAGAATGATTAGGGTTATCTCAAACATATCTTTATTTGGATTTAACCACACATGTCTTTATACCTACTGACTAGAACTGAACTTGCCTTCAGGTTAGGGAAAGGCTAGACATACTTAGATTTCTTTTCTCTTTAACAGTTTTTTAACACCAAAGCTTAAAAATGTATTTGTTATTTATCCCTGCCAAAGACTAAGAATAACGCTACCAAATGCTCTACTGGCCTTAAGGAAAATTCTATGATTCTTCTTTCTTACAGAGACAGCTAACAAGTCTGTGTAGAGAAGCTAATACCTAAAAGAAAAAACTCACAGTTTAGATAATGGAAGGACAAAACCTCTGCAAAACATAATATAAGCAGTAGTTTTATTATATGGGTCTAGTTTTCTTTAAAAGTGCAATGTTGTAACAGGACATAAAGACATAACTAAGCAAACATAGAAAGTTTACCAAATTTTGACTGTGACAAGAAATTTTAAGGAGATGTATGCTTTGGGGGCTACAGCAAAACCCTTGGCATTTCACTAGGTCACAAAAATTCTACGAGGGGAAAAGAACCATCTAGTAAACTGAGTAAGAGTTAAATTTTCCTTATTCCACTCACCAAACTATCCTCAGTGTGTGGGAACACCTCCTAGAAATGACAATTCAAATTTGATTCTAAACTGTAAACTCCACGTGGGCAGGGATGATGTCTGCTATTGCTCAACATTATACTACTCCCAGTACTCACAGTGGCCAGAACTTAGTAGATGATTATTATATATTAATAGAATAAATAAATGAGTGAATATAATATAACATAGGATTTTAAAAAGTGATCAAAATAGTAACAGCAAACATTTTTTAATTCTTATTGTGCTTAATTAGGAATTTATATCTAATTTAATCCTTAAAACAACCCTATGAAGTATTATGCCTACTTTAAGGAAGAAGAAGGCACAGTGAAGTTAAATAACTTGCTCAGAATCACAAAGATACTAAATAATTCCTAAGAAACAAGGCACCTAGAACAAATCTAGCACAAAGTACATACTTGAAATACTTGGTTGAATAAATAGATAAAGTGATGGAGTTAGGATTCAAACCCAGATCTAACTCTACCACCTCCAAATAATCCAAAAGCTTATTTAGAAAATGAGGGTTTCCAAAGAGCATAAAAGAGCTCTGTTACTTCAACCCTGCTGACTGAGGGCTCTGAGAAGAACTGTGTCACTGAAACATAAAAAGAAAAAATATCTCCAGTTCTCCTGTGCCACTGAATCAAAAAACTGGAACAGACTTTCTAGAGATGGTTGACAAGCGTTCATATTTTGGTTGAGGCATCCTGCCTCACAATCTTGAAACATAATAATAGATAAAATATAAGAAGGGAAAATAAAAAAGGTGCAGCTTCTCTGAAAACCAAAAATAAGAAGTGGAATAGATATTGCTCCTCCTGGATCTGCTGGGCAAAGGCAGCTGTAAGTTTCCCCAGCTTTACAGTACAGAGAATAATCATAATCCAAGGCAGGTGATGGAAGAGGGATGAACTGAAGCCAGCATTGGGGTGGGTCTCCTCCTTCCCCAGGAATTGTACCTGTTTTCAGGGGGAAAAAAAAAAAAAGCCTGAAAAAGGTACAACAGACTATGGCTTATGTAAAACTGAGTACTTGGAGGAAGCCTGAAGGAAAAAGACACAGCCTCTGTCACAATCTGGACCAAAACATGATGTGACATATGAACTTTTAACACTACATAATTAGAATCTGAACCACCCATATAAGACCTGCTATGTACTGAAACACAGAACAGGGTCATGAGTAGGAGGAACCACGAAATTAGTAGTAGACAGACATCAGTAGTAGATAGAGAGGTGGGTAGGAGAAGGGAGATGGTAATTCCATTCAAGAAGAACCTGCGAAGTATAATTACAAAAAGACAGAACTGATTTAAAAAAAAAAAAAATCAGTAATCAGGCAATAATTTCACTCTATACAAATTAGATATAATAGGGCAATCTGAAAATAACTTTAAAATAAGTTTGGTTGGGATAGTTCAGAGAGGTCATAAAGGAGTAAGAACCATAAAAACAAAACTGAAAATTGTGACATAAATGCAGGCATTAAAAAAAGCAAAGCAAGAATTCATGAAAAAGAATCAATTTGAAAACTAGGAAATGAAGACACAAAAATTTCCATAGATGAGACAAACTCCAGATTACCTGGAGTACAAGAGGTAACTGGTGGATTAGAAGACATCCTGATTATCTGACTCAGCATGCAAACAGAAATAGAACAGAAAAATAATATGGAGAAGCAGTGAAGTCTTGGATAGCAAGATGAGAGAGGTAGACAAAAAGGAAATCGGAGATAATGCACAGCCTTGAATGCGTTCATTAATTTTTTTAAAAAGCTAGCAAATACAGTAAACATTCAATTTAAGAAACTAGAGGCAGGGAAAACTCAGTAAGCCTAAAAAGATTGAAAAGAAGAAAATCTAAAAATATATATTGTGATCTCCAGGATCACTTTTATTTTACTTTCTTTCCATACGCAATACACAGAATAAAATTCAGCAATGCACGTATCCAAAACAATATAGGGTGAAGAAAACATAAGGCCCATTAAACTAAACTTGCAAACTTAAAAGCACAATTACAATTCAGAGGAAACTGCTCTCTTCATGAAACAATAATTAATATCCAAAAAAATCACATTTCTGTTTATCAGGGGCATTGTTTTTGGCAAGTTCTCTATTTTGTTCCAAAACTGCAAGTGTTGATTAGCTCTATAATGTAAAAATTAAAAAAGCAATATAAAGTAATGTTTTACAGCTCATGTACACCAGGGGGAGCATTCCTCTTTCCTATCTAAGAATTCTCAAATTTAACTTGGCCTATCACAGTATTGTAATGTTTTTAAATAGCCTATCAAATACAAGGAAAGGTCATGAGATAATTACTATTATTATGTAGCCATTCCCAATTAGGAAAATGCACTGTATGAAGTGAATTTTTAAGCTTTAAATAAACTAGATACATCAAGACATGAATAAGTGGAACAGAGGAAAAATGATGCTGGTTTGATATCTTAAAATTATTGCTTACCATATATTTACATTTAAAAATATCTCCTTGACTGGCCGGTTGCTCAGTTGGTTAGAGCACAGTGTTGTAATACCAAAGTCAAGGATTCGGATCCCCTAACTGCCTAGCCACAAAAACAAAAACAAAAAAAGCATTGCTCGGCCAAAATAAAATAATTAATTAAAAAAAAAAATCTGACAACTCTCACTGTCTATATTATACAATAAGCACTTCGCCATGTACTAACTTGTTTGGATTGCCTGTTAAGCAAAATTAGCCATTTTATTAGGTATACTTGCTTTCTAGTTTTAGTTTGGGCCATAATTTTAAAAATCTCTGATAGAGGGTTTTGAGTTCCTCCTCACATGCAGTGACACATAGTGAATTTTCATTCATTAATCAAGTTCAATAAGTATTTAAGAATTATATTTCACAGAAATTATAAATATCGGTGTGAAATTTTACCTTAGCATAAAATAAAAAATTGGGGAGGTTCATTCATAGATATAGGTTATCAGGTGAGCTTATAATACTAAGAGCTGAATAAAGATGACTAAGGCCATTTGGTGTGGGTGGGACGAATGTGTAAAACAGTACCTCAATCTTCCTTGTATTTCCATTTCTTAGCACAATTTAAGACAGGGAGGACACACAACATAAATCAGTGAAGGCCAAAAAGAAAAAAAAAAAGTGTAAGCATTTTATCGACTGGGTTAAAATAAACATAACTCGTAACTTATGACTCAGCCATCCTTCCAGAAAGATCCACACGAATATTGGAATAATTGCAGAGTGGAATTAACGACCCGATAGTGATAGTGAAAGAATACCCTTTTTAAAACGTGCTGGCCAAATCTGCAGTAGCTAAAGTCCTTTGTTCAAGACCGTTGGGCAGAAGGTTGGGATAGAAAGGGGAGTTGTTTTTTTGTTGTTGTTTTTAAAGTGAGGAACTAATCTTTCATTATCCTCTTTACATCTCTAGAAAATTTCCCCAATTTTAAACACTTAAAGCATTTCAGTGAAATCAAGAACACCTCAATCTTCGTAAAATCGTCCCCAGCTCACCACAATGGAGCCTAATAGCACCTGCAGCAACTTCCCCTCGGGCTCTCAACATTTCAGAGGGCTCAGCTACGTCAGCCCCTCTTCGGAAAAACGAGGTAAAGCAGGTTTAAAGAGGTAAAGCAACTTGCCCACGGTCTCTAGCCACGAAGTGGCAGAGCCACAACTCGTTTTCCGGCCCTTCAGAGTCCAAATTTCCATCGCTCTTCGTCCTTTGCAAACGCACACTCTTCCCAAACTAAGGATCGAATCCCGACCCCCAAGTCAAAGCCTGACCGAAAGCGCACGGCCAACGGCGTACACAGCCTCGCGCACTCTCCTTTCTAGACCCCCCCAGCCTGCGGACGCACTCCAGAGGCGGGATTAAGCTGCAGCCGGCGAATCAGGGAGCGGCTAGGCGAGCCGCGGGGCGCACTCTACCTGGCGTCATTTCCTTCGATAACAGAGTCGCTGCAGCCAACTCCACAGCCCCAGTCTCCTCTCCCCCGGAAGCCCTAGTTGTCAGTCGAAAGCGGCATTGGCATGCTTCCGTTTTGCTCCCGAAGGCTACCAAAGGGCAGGCGAATGCCAGCCAACTTACTGAGCTCAGGCGTTGACGGGGAATGTGAGAACTGGCACCGAAATCCTTTCTGGAGTGGTCCCGATACCACTCACTAGTCCTCCTTTGGAAACTTCAACTCCCAGAGGCAGGGGCGGTAGTTACACGGTGGAGGCTACGTGGTTACGCCTTACGTCATCGAAGTGCGCCAACTCCGGCAGCCGCGGCCCCACTGGGAGAAAGGGGAGGGGTTTATACGGGGCGGGGCCTAGAGTTAACGGTTTGGGGAGTCGGGGGTGGTTACAGTGGTGTCTGTTTTTCCCTTTCAAGAGGTAAATGTATTCTTGCTGGCATGTATTAACTCATCATGTATTTGGCTGGAGGGTGGGGGAAATAAGATAATCCCACTCTTAAAAGTGCAAAACAGAGATAAAGAACTTAAAAGCATCTCTTGCCTGAATTATATCATTTATACAGAAGATTACCAGTGTGACGTGATTTTACATGGCTCAAGGGGAAAATTAAATTCATTAAGCGAGTCCAGTTCACAATAAAATGTCTTTAAATTTACAATTTCTAAGCCATTTTTAAAAGCACTCATACACTTTACTTTCCATTCGTTGAGCTATTTTTCCTATGCTGTTTTGCAAAACATCAGGTGACATTTCATTGTTTATAATACGTGACCTTATATAATCTTTTTTCTATATATAGACTAAGTCAAATGAGGGAGAAATGAAACACAATCCAGTAGATTGTCGTTTTCTATTTAGTTTATTTGGCCCTACTTATAATACGTAATTGTTGCAGAATTTGAAGGCAAGAATGAGGCTTGAATCTTCAGGAGACAGCCTTCTCAGTATGGAAATAATTCTGAAGTAAATTATTCTTGATACTTGAAGACGTATTTGAACATGTTTAAAGGCTTTCGTGAACAGAAAATTAAATTCAGAATTTGAGGTCCTCTAGAAGAATGGAAATTTCTCTGAATTTAGTCACAAAACTGAAGTCACTCTTGGTTTAAACCATCAAATATTACTTGAAAAACAGGTGTCAGCTGTAACAATCTTGTGGGTCCCTCTCAGTTTATTCCCCAACTCAAATCTGAAGGCTCTCAATTAACAGCATTGGCAATGAAGTCTGGATCCACCTCTGATCTGTTAGTAGGACATCTTTTTTCAGCTCCCTCCATATCAGGGTAAAGAGTAGCTGAGGGAGGATTAGTAATTGGATATGTAGCCCTGCACATGTGGGTTATTAAATTCAGGCTGGCATAGTGATGTGCCAAATCTTTGAACAGCTGTTCAGTTGCCCCTATGGGATCTGTTTTATAAATAATTATACATTTTCTTCAGAGTTAATACCTGGCATCCTTAGATATTTAAAATAAAGTTTTAAAGTTACTAAAAAATGTTCGTATTTTAATAGTGGAGTCAATACATTTTCTCTTTACATGGCCATTTAACTTTGTAGTCACATGGTGCAAAACTTTTGGCACTGTCTATCAAGTCTGATATCTTTTACCTAAGTTGTCTAGAAGATTTAAGCTTACGGTTAGGGTTCTAGAAAAGGGTTTTGAGAGGGACCAGAGTAAATTTAAGAACGTATTTTATACTGTAACATGGCCAGAAGTATTTTCAAGTACATTCAAACAGCCTTTCACCAGCACTTTTTTCTCTTCTTTGCCAAGACATCCCCATGTGCCCCCAAGCCATCTCATTTTAGTAAGTTTTGTTTACATCAGGTCTCTCTTGTGGAAGTTTCCAGAAACAAAGGTCGGTTCAGTTAGCATGGCCTTAGCCATACTAGGGTATTCACTTTAATTCTAGAGAAGTTTCCTGATTAATATTCAGTAGCAAAAGTGCTAAGAGATGGAATTCCCCCTCTGAATCTCTTTCTAGAAATGGAATTCAGAAAGCACAGGACTCCATCCAGCCAGATTGGGGACTCAGACAAGTGTTTCTTGTCATAGATACAAATAGAGTTCTACGATGATAAACTCAACTGGCCTACTAGCACGTTAATGATAGACAATGCTGATTTGCTCCAACCCTGTAAAGTTCTACAAATAAGGAGAAACATCTGTGCTTCAAGAATGAAAGTTTTATCTATTTTAACATTATTTTTAAGTGATTGGTGGTGGTACTACTTAGTTTGAATTTAAATCCTAAAATTCACAGTGATTTTTTTTTATAATAGCATACAAATAGTACAAAATTCAAAGCTGAACATGTAAGATATATGAAAATTCAGTTAGGCTTAGCTGAGTTTGAGAATCTTCACCACCCTCCCACATAAAGTGGTGAAATGTAAAGATAGGCAGTTAATATTATAGACATGATGATGATTATGTATTCAGCAGAAAAGTATCATCACTAGTTTTCTTGGAATGTCTCTCAATACTTTTGCATTTATGGAAAGGTAGACTGGTTTGATTTAGTTCTCAAAAATGAAAACTTTCTTGATTTTCCTTATGGAGTGAAAAAAAAAAGTGAGAGACTGAAAACTGCCACCCACCTATGTTTAATCATTAATAATGAGCCGTTCAGTGAACTTAGGTCATGATTTCAGAGTTTGGAATCTGACCTTTCCTCAAAGATAAACATCATTGTTGCAGGTTGTGAGGAGGGTCACTCCCTCACTGGCTGCCACTGGAAGAGTCCACTTCTCAGTCACTCCTAACTGGGAACTGGATGCAGTAGGGAGTAACTATTCAATATGATTCTTCTTGCTGTGCTTTTTCTCTGCTTCATTTCCTCATATTCAGCTTCTGTAAAAGGTGAGTTTGTGTTGCCTTTGCTAAACTTTAATTTTAATTTTTTCGGGGGGGAAACTGTGCGCACGTGCTTGTGTGTGTGTGTGTGTGTGTGTGTGTGTGTGTGTGTGTGTGTGGTGAGAGTTCTTAATTAAATCATCTTCAAAACCATGTAACTTTGGAATGTTTGTGAAGGCTTGGCTGGGTTAAAATGAGAATAAAATTCAAATTCTTACATACATTAAGAAAACAGAGGTCCCTTTTAGTTTCAGTCCATCATACTAATGTGTTTCTTCATTCAATTTCTTATTCATGGTCTACTTTTAAAAGGGAGAAAAAAGATGCCAGCTATTGTTACCTGCCGCTATTGGTCACACTGAATGCAGCTCCTTCATTTGAATTGTAAAAGAGGGTTTTTAAAAAGCCACTTCTTAAATTTCCTTCTAGTTGCTTAGCAATGTGGCATCAGGAAGAATTAGACCCAATGAAACAGGCATTTGATTTGCTAAAGAATTATGAATGAAATGGGAAGGCATATATTTAATTCCATTACCATTCAAAAGTAATAGTTGGTGATCTAAAGAAAATAAAACTACATGGTATAGATTTAAGAAATAAGACGTATTTGTCTTTGGAAAAATAGTATTGCTAGATACAGTTTCTGTTTAAGATGAAATTGACTTTAAAAAACACATGTGAATTGACACCCTCAGAGAAAGGAAGAGAGGAAACAAACATATTTTATGTAGAATGGTTTCCAAAAGTTGTATGCAATGTATTAGTGTGGAATCTTGTTTTAAATCAACTAGATTATAAACTCCTTGTATCGTTAGGTGTTGCACCACATAACATCAGCACTTTTTAGAGTTTCTTAAGACACATTGTCAAGCTAACTGATCTAACATAACTTAGCATGACGGGGTCCAATTTTAAAAACTAAGTAATTGATATAAAACAATTCATTTATGAACTTGTAAAACCTGTTTGGGATAACTGTGGTTTTTGATCATAAAGTGAAGTTTGTCTCAAGATTTTTTTAATGTGGAAAATTTCCACGAGGGAAAAAAGCCAATATTTGTTATTGTAAATGGAAGATTAAATTTAAATTATTATTATTATTATTATTTTCCTTTTTGTCTTTTTTCGTGACCAGTAACGGGATCGCAACCTTCCGTGTCGCGCCCGCACCACGGTCAACCGGTGAGCAGACCGGTCTCTATATGGGATCCGAACCCTCGGCAGGAGCGCCGCCACACTCCCAAGCACCACACTCTACCGAGTGTGCCACCGGGCCGGCCCTAAATTTAAATTATTTTAAAGCAAATCACACTTTAGGTTCTTGAACTAAAAATAATATTTTTTTTACCAGTTTCTAAACTGTTTAGTATTTAAAGATATGGTCCATGCTTAGACAAAAAAAAAATTTAATGAGAAAAAAATAAAGATATGTAAATGATATCTGACTGAGAATTGTTGTATAGAGTTTACTATTTTATCTTCAAATAAGCTGTTGAATTTTTGAAATTTGAGTGATTTAAACACCAAAATATCAACCTAATGCCATGATTATTTTGAGAAAAATAATTGAGATATAGCAGTTATTGTGGGCTTTTTACCCCCCATTTTATAAACCAGAAAATTGGATAACTTGATATTGTCAAATGCATTTATAATGGATTTTAATCATGCTCGCAACAGATAATGTCATATAGGGAAAATATGGTTTAGAACATGACAAATAGTTACAGTTTGTTGTGTACAAGCTCAGTGGCAAATTTTTAGAATCTGAAGCTTATGCAATTTAGGAGCTGTCTTTGAGAAAAGATTAAAGAACTATCTTACTTTTACAAAGGTTACTGAAAAAAGATATGGCATGTGTACCCATTACTAAGAGCCCCTTCCGAAGTCTCAGAAGGAGTCTCAGCAAGTGGGGGGCCCCAAAGCTTAAGCTTCGTTAGTTTTATGGTGCAACCTGCTTATGCCACTTCTCATAAATAAGCAGATAGGACTTGACAGTCCTCTCTCAACCTACATAGGATAACTTTTTGTACCATGGTTTAATTATAGAGTCTTTGCCATTTTAACGATTGACATTTAACTAGCAAACTGCTTGTGAAGAGTCTACCTTGAAAACAGGCCATTCTAAATTTTGGAATCCCATGCATCACTTCAAAACTCTTCTCTAATTTAAATTCTTAAGGCAGCTGTTCATCAAATCCTCAGATCTGGGTGGGGGTTGAGAACAGGTTGGAATGTGAAGAGAATGGAGGAGGGGTTAGGATTCGTATGGAAGAGGGTCTATACGATATGCTGAGTATGGATTTTCTTTTTTTTTTTTTTTTTTTTTTTTTTTTTTTTTTTTTTTTTTTTC